ACAGCACTGTACGCAGGGCTAAGTCTCGACATGTGACGTGTTGCACATTTATTTATTTACTTATTATCGACTGTTTACAGATCGATAATTACTGAGTTTTAAATCGATACATGTATTTGATAGACTGGGACTCTGGTCATAGTCAATATTTCTGAGATCGTTAATTCTTCGTTCGTTGTCGGGTTTTTAGGACGAAATTCAAAGGCTTCGACTTGGGGCATAATCTTGGTTTCTGAGATCGATAATAATGGAATGAAGACAAATCTGACACATGCTGTGATATAGTGCCGTGTTCTCTAATTATCAGATAATTATCAAAATTTCAGATCGAAAATCAACAGCATGAAACTTCAATCGGTTTGTTTTAAAGTTCTCTAATTATCTGATAATAAAAAAAATCTGAACAATCATTTGTTTTATTAATAAAGTATGAAAAATTACTGAACATTTAAAATCCAAATATGGTGCTATTTGTGAGTGATGAGTTTTAAATAATGATTATTTCCTCAGAATAATCATGAACGGGTTGAATTCAGACTTGTAGTAATATGTGTCGAAAAGGCCAAAACCAATATTGAAGACTTATGTTTTGAAAATAACTAATCTCACTTCGATATCGTGTTCTGCTTTAAATTACAGCAATACTTCTAGGAAAATCAGTTCAAACCAGCTGCATCCTGAAAGACTTAGAGACATTTTAGCTCCGAAGATAAAACAATATCTTTTATCAAATAGTAAGAACTCACCATGGGGATTGAAATTGACATTTGGCTTGTCTTCCCTTGGTGCTGTTTGCATATGTAAACAAAAGACTGCACAATGTAAGATTAGAACTACGGGTAGAGTTATCCAGAAAAGCAATGGAGTAGAAAAACAACCAACGTTCAGGTGGAAGGACTTCTGGGAGTATCTATCGCCTGAAATGCTTCATTTGCTTGCAGCAATATTGGTAAGTTAATAAAACTTAGTTTTGAATGTTAGTATTTTTTCCCCGCTAATATTCAATATTTCCACATTTATCTGTATCTGTTGGTAATTATTAATTATGGACCAAATAGAGGTTTACTTTCAAAGGTTGTATTTGTCCTTTCACGCTTAAAGGACGATTTACACACAATGGCAATTTGGATTTGTGTAAACGAGCAATATTTTTTTATATGCACTTTATACGTCACTATGGTATCCATATAAAACACTACACAGTGTGGCGACCACCCTTTAAATTATACTTTGTGCATTATGTCAGAATTTAACAAAAACAGTTGTGAACTTAGATAGCCGTGTGAGTGAGTTGTATATTACTCTAAGTCATCGGCTGCCCACTCAACACCGACATAGATCCTCCTGTGAAAAAATGAGAATGTATTTCATTTTTAAATATCTTAAAACATTTTATTTGGTGATCAGTAAGTTACTTTTTGAATACAGGAAGGATAGAAGTATTTTTGCATGCCTTTTTCACAGGAGGAGCGAATGTGTGACATTGTTTGAATAGGACGGGCTGACCGAATGTGTGACATTGTTTGAATAGGAGGGGGCTGACCGAAAACATAATAAATTCTTACATTGTCATGAAGCCAGGACTACAACCAATGAGAATCATTCTTATTTCCATTCATGGACATGGTAAATTAGCATATAAATTAATTCACGTTTGATGTAAAACTGAGAAGTTAAAATCTGACTGAATGGTTCTTAGATAAATCACAGAAATTGATACAAACTCATTCCTGACTTGATGTGTTTATAGAGTGCCTTCGCTGTTGCCATAGTGAACATTAAAATGCCGTTGCTGATTGGCGACCTTGTTGAGGTGGTGTCTAAATTTACATCTGAGAATGCAGGAAACTACTTACAAGAGATGAAGAAGCCAGCATTGAGACTAATTGCTTTGTACGGCATTCAGGTAAGCCTAGCAGTTACACTTTTCAGTTCAGTTATAGCATGCAAGCTTGGGAAGCTGCTAGGATACCTGCTCACATTTGCTTGTAAAAGATCTGAAGATGCATTTTACGGTAGCTTGTACAGTTTGGAAACACACTTTTTGAGTATAAATTATATGCATACATACTAGAACTATAAATTAAGTTCTGTTTTCAGGGCATTTAACCAATACTTTCTCGCCCAAATTTGACTTCCCGTTTTTATTATATTCTACAAATACTTCTGGAAATGAACCCTAATTTTGGAGCCAACAGACAAAATTTGAGCAATTTGAGTAAAATTTTCAGTTTTTACTAAAAAAAATGTCCAATCTTCTGAAAAAAAATGCAGACTACCGTAAAATCTGTATTAGAAGCCGCATCCCTAATTAGAAGCTGCACCCATTCTTTTTGAATAATTGAGAACCAAAAAATCATCATTTCTCATATTTGTAGATGCTGTAATAGAAGCCGCATCCCCATCTGTTGCATTGTATCATTTTAATAGAAGCCGCAGCTTCTAATACACATTTTACAGTATAAACGGAACTATTTTATGAATTTGTGATGAAAAGAGGAAACTGGTGGTGAAAAAGTCAAAATAAATTAAGGAAACTCAACATTTACAATTGATTGGCAGATTGTTTTGTTCTATTGGAAATATAAATTTTACTCATGTACTGGTACTATTGGTAATTTCCATTTGTTCCTTGTACAATTTCCTAGACAAAACTTTCATCTTTAAAATCAACTTTATCACATGGTGTGTCCAGTAAATGCTGAGACGTCCCTACCACTGTAAATGAATATCTATCTCTTCAATCACAGGGAATACTGACATTTGGTTACATTAGTTTATTGTCCTCCATTGGTGAGAGGATCGCAAACCGAATGAGGAAAGCTCTTTTTCAATCACTAATACAACAGGATATTGCATTTTTTGATGCTAATAAAACAGGTGAACTTGTTAGCAGGTACGTTTAACTAATCTCGTTTATATTTTTCATATCCATTCTATGTTGCTGGTAGCTTTCTTTTATTTTCGTTAACTTATTACCTTTCTCTAATAGAAGCACACACTAAAATTGGATGTATTGTATACTTAATCAGTAAAATAGTACTTTTTTTCAGACTAACAGCTGACGTACAAGATTTCAAGAGTTCTTTTAAACTTTGCATATCTCAGGGACTAAGAAGCACCACTCAGGTAAACAAAGAAACCCATCATTATTGGGAATACATAACACTCAAGTCAACTTCTGTCACCCAATATTAAATCCCACTTAATATTGTCCGTATTTTTTCAAAAAAAATTAGGGTATTTTTGTCCCAATCTTCTGAAGGAAAGTGCAGACTATAAACAGACTATTTGTGAGTTTGTGATGAAAAGAGATGACTGGTGGTGAAAAGGTTAATGTTAACATAGAAATTATAGAAAATGCATACACATGTTGGCGGGAAATATTATAGTGGTAAAGATACATAAATTCAAGATTGTTGCTTAATAATGACTCAGAGGATGGGACTTTGTTATAATGCCATTCAGACTCTGGTTCTCCACATTTTGTGAGTCATTGAATTGGGAAATTTTGTAAGCATTAAAAATATCACTAGTTGTTTTGTCAACTTTTTAACTTTACTTTACCAAATTCAGAAGCAAAACTATGTTCTTTGACGACTTGCATGATTGTTTTTTTGGAGACAGTTTGGTAAGTTGATGAAAAAGAATATGACCATGTCAGGTACCTGTAAAATCAGATTGTCCAATGACCATATAATGGGTACAAGAGAATAGTGTAATTTTGAAATTATTATTAATAAAATTGAGTTGTCCTGGAATCAAAATACTATATTATTTATCCCAATGGTCTTAATAAATTCAGTCAGTCTTAGGCAGAAATGAATTTGAATCAAGGATATTCTTCAATTCTTGAAACTTGTGCACACTCTTGAAACACTAGAAAGTCAAGCAGGTCATTATGATTTCACTTAACCAGAAACAGTTTTTTTTTCTATACTTTACTAAGTTTTAAAAAAAATCATTTTTTTAATTTACATTCATGATTTTCTCTCCTCGCAAAAAGTGCATGTATGATATTTTCACCCCAGTGTACTCACATTTCTAGACATTTAAATCACATCTGTGTAGTTAAAAAATATGATTAGTATAGCATATTAAAAAAAGGTAATTGACCAAAACGGATTATAAAATATTACCTGTGGAAGAACCTGATTCGGATTTTCATTAACAGGCCACCAACAGACTCTTTCACAATTTCATTAAAATCTGATGTAGGGTATAGACTGCAATTTTGTTTTATTTTTTATACTGAGATACGATATATAAAAAAACTTAATAACTACAGGTAAAACCAAAAAATATTCATAAATAAAGAAAATTAACAATAACAAATATAAAAAATTATATCGAATTTCAAATGTCACAAATGCTCTTTGCACAGATATAGATGATATTAACACTGTTATTTTCATCTATCTAGGTGACAATCGCATTAAATATTACACTGTATTCTTGTTTATTTACTACAGGTATTAGGATGTATGTTATCCATCTATGTGCTGTCTCCTAAACTAACTGCTTTAATGATTGTTGTGATTCCCAGTATGGTGTTAGGGGGTACTGCTATAGGTCATGTGTTACGCC